CATCGAAATAACTCGGTGCGAAATCGCGGAGCGGGCGCAGCACATGGGATACCATGCAATTGAACGTGGCGGGAGCATTCTTCAAGCCTTGTGGCATAACAAGCCACTCCCAGAGCATACCACTGGGAGTGATTACCGCTGTGAGCGGTATATCGCTCAGCCTCATGAGGATTTGGTAGAACCCATCGGTCAAGTCGATGGCGCTGAAGACCTCACTACCCGACATTGCGTCGAGCACCATGTCCTTCCGAGGAATTGGCGTCTGGGCAGGGATGGTAGCGTCGTTCAGCTTGTTGAAGGCATGGACGATGCGCCATCCGCCCGTGGCTTTCTTCACACAGAAGGTCGGACTGGAGTGCGGCGATGTGCTCTCACGCACATGACCCGCCTTGCGGCGGCTCTCGAAGAAGTCATCGATAGCTTGGACCTGATCTCGCGGGAGCGGGCACTGCCTCGTCACACAGTACTTCGAGCCGGGCACGAGATCGATCTCGTGGCGAATTCCTCGGTCAGCTGGCAACTCAGCTGGGATCTTATTCGGAAATACATCTTCATATTCGCGGGCGGTCTCGTAGACTGGATTGCCGAATTCGCGTAGCGCGTCCCAAGACTGCCCTGCGAGGCGCTCCTCGCGGGCCGACTTCGGTTCAGCGCTATTTGGACGCTAGACGTCGTCACTGACTGCATTCACTTCGAGCGACGCCGAATCGGCGTCGGTGATCAGGCAAATCTGTTCGATTTCATCGGCCTTGAGGCCGCGGAGAAAGTTCTTCCAGGAGAGACCTGGAAGTCGAGTGATCGACCCTGCCTCGCCAGGCGGGCTTTGCAAGCTCGAGTGTTCGTCGGCGGCCAGAGGTACCTTCCCCATACTCAAGCACGCAGACCGATTCCGTTGGTGAGCTGTCACTTGGTACGGGCTCTCGGCAAGGTTTCAGCCGACGCCGCTTCGACTTCCTCTTTCGCCGCCTCGAGTGCGAACGCGAGGATGATGAGTCGCCCTCGCCGGACGAGATCTCACCCCCCTCTAGCGGGAGCCCCTGCTCGGCCGCGGTAGTGTTCAGCGGGAGCGCCAACTGCTCGACCACCGGCTCAATTGACGGGAGACCCTGCTCGACCGCCATCTCATTCGTCTGAGGGAGCCCCTGCTCGACCGCCATCTCGTTCGTCTGCGGGAGCCCCTGCTCGACCGCCATCTCGTTCGTCTGCGGGAGCCCCTGCTCGACCGCCAGTTGGTCTTCATCCCCGCGTCGCCGCGGGGACTCGTCAGCTAACAGCACTGCGCAAGCCGTGCAGAGAGGGCCATCGCTCACTCTCTGCACAACGTGCGTCGTGGATGACCGGTCCACGACGGTGACGTGAGGCCAATCCTTCTGGGCGACCAGGAGGTGCGTGAACACCTCGCTCACATCATAATCACTGCGGCGCTTGACCGACCGGGCCAACCAGCCAATCTCTGATTGATAGCGCGTCAGCCACGGCATACCCAGGATGCAGTCAAACGCGTAATTTATCTCAATGACGAGGAAGTCGTCGTTGCTTCGGAAACCGTCGAACGTGTTCGGAAGTGTAATCTCGCGCCGCGCGACGCGGCGTGATTTCCCATCGGCCAACTTGACAGCGACCTCCCCTCTACCTTTGCGGGCGACAGTGATGTCCGACAGGAGTACCGACAAGCACGACGCGCGGAAGAAGTTGTTGGTCGCTCCAGAATCAAGGAGCGCTCGCGGTGGTCGCCGGGCACCGGCGACATGAAGACTGACAGTGATCAATCTTGAATCGCTCGGCGTGGTGGTGGCATGAAAGTGTGCATGCAGCACAGGAGGGCTAGGAGGTTGGGTTGCCACCGGGGGACCCCGGACCTCCATTCCAGCCAGTAGGGCGCCCCGCACCTACTGACCCTGACCGTTTTTTTTGGCTGGGTCAGGAACTTACGGGGCTCGGGCATCGACCATGCGCAAGCACTGGAGCTGGTTGCGCGGCACTCCGGCCGCGCGATGAACGGATCTTTCGTGACAGGGGACAGGGTGAAGAGAACGGGTTGCTTCCAAGCACCGCTTCGAACGCACTTGCATGACGCTTGA